ATTACCTGGACGGGAAATCATCATCCAAATTATTATATTATTTAACACGCGGCCGGTTATAATATCATGGCTGCTTTTGGATGAAAATGTCAGCGGAAGAGCGCGGCCTCTCAAAATTAAGACTTTTTCGCCCACCCAAATTTTTATCCAGAATTCATCTATATAATATATCTATAAACGATGATAGTCAATTTCAAAGCTTTTTTCCTGACAAAAACTTTTTAAAATTTCATCGATGAAACGTGCTGCAAACTTGTGTATAAACGTTTTCTGTATTGCCCAATCATCTTATCGTCCCACTTGTCGTCCTATTCCTCTGTGGCAACTGTCCTTAAAAGAACTCAATCATATTTCAAATATACAAGACTTATTTTAATTACAGTGGTTCCCTCGAACAATAAAGATATGTCATAAATAAGAAATTATTTCTGAAGAGAGCAGTTTCTTTGATGAAGTTAGTTTGCCTTGCAGCCTATATATAAAGTGCTATAAAGTCATTAAAATAGAAACCTCGTGTTGTAAGGCCTGTTTCAAACGTCACATTTTACATGAGCCGACTGCATTTCATACAAAACATAATGAGGGATATTATCTCATTTTCTTTTGTTTTAAATGCATTCGCCGTATGTAAAATGCGACGCTTAAAACGGGCATAACTATAACTTTCTTTTGCCAGTTTAGTAAGAATGAGAAGAATGCAAAATTTGAAATCAAATCACATCTGACAGTGCAATAGTCGTCATCATTCTACATGTCTATAATTTCGACAATCCACTCTAAAGCGACGTGTTAAAATGTAATCATTCGAAGTGTTTCACGAATCAAGAAGCCTTATTAACTCACAAATTCTGTTGTTCTACAAATACACGAAATCTATCTCTAGCCCAAACTCTTTATCTTAAAGGTCTAGGTTTTGGCAAACATCATGAAAAGAGACTGGTTTATAACGATCAACCTTCGTTATTGTAGAACACGTCGTTGACCTAGCATAAAGCAGAAAAGGTGAATTGTATGTTCGTTGCAAGTAATCTGATCAAGTAGAATTTGTTTGTAGTAATAAGTCTATAATATAAGCATACAATTCTCGTGCATTAACATGAACTTATTACATGGCAAGCGTCACTTCCGGCTAAATGGTGCGTTTTGATTGGCTCTGAAATATTTTTGCAGGTCTATTATTTTCCCGTGATCTACCACGGTTCAAAACGCGTAATTTTACAGTCAAACGTAAAAAACTTCGTAATGTGAAAAGCAAAACGCAAAATAAACAAAACGAAAAACCATTTACGAATGTGATTCGAAGGAAAAACACTTAGAAAACAGTTTGACTATACAGATAATGCAATTTGAAACGATTTATTTTTTATGGACGAAAACTATAAAAGTGAAAGCCAACCAGTAAAAAACAGCAAGGACGAGAAAGAAAGCAAGCTTAGTTTCAGGTCAAATAATGCCATATAATAAACCTTTTATTAACTTCGCTTACTTAGTTTTACTGAGAAATATAGGACCGCTATCTTCTTGTACAAACCTCGCCTGTACTCGGTTATTAAGGGTTTATTTATGATTAGAGCAGGTACTGAAAGCTGCATATTTTCTGGAACTAAGAAAGCAATAATAAGGAATAAAGAAACATGAAAACTCGGCTTGTAAAAGAAAGATAAAAACTGAGGTCGATTAGTGCAATAATAAGTTATAAATTTCTCCATAAGCTTGGGCCAATTGTATCAAAGGCAAGTCAAAATTAATAGTCGCTTTAAATTAAGTCAATATATTGAAACTATGGTTTAACAGATACTACACCTAGGTTTTATGATGGTTAATACAATGACACGAAAAAAGATTTCACAAGATATTGCATGTAAGATTCTCAATAGAATCCTGTTTAAGATCTTCTGTGAAATTTCTTCTGTGCAGGATCTTATGTAAGATTGTCGCATGGTCATATTTAAGATTCTTAAAGATACCATAGTTTCTTAAACGATCTAAAATAAGTTCCAATACGATCTTAATCCACCTTTCCGAAGGTAAGCACACGTGTCAAAAAATATGATATCAAATTACAAAATAAGGACCGTCAATTGGTCAAACATAGTATTGTATTTGTAGAATAGTGGCAATAAAATTGAAAGAAAATGCTCGTGAGGCATTCGTAAATCTTATTTTAGATATCCAGAACGACTAATTATAAAGGCAGAAGGTGTAAGGGTGAATAAAAACCATTTTCTCTCAAATCAAGGGAAAGCTTGGATGTGACATGCAATAAATATGCAGATACGAAGTTATAGAGAAAAATATAAACATTTCTGAAGTGTTGATCGGTTTGATATATGCATTTATCAAAACAAGCTAAAGAAGACAAAGAGCACGCCAAAAATATATGATTGAAAACTTGCTCAGCGCATCTACAAGCACCGATTTGAGAGCTCGCTCGGTCACAAATTATTTGAGAATTGCTCTGATTATGTGTAGTCAACTCCACCAGCTTTCCAAGTTCATGGTCATGGTAGCAACCAACTGTATGTACTAGTACCCATTGTGGAGTAATTAGCTCGCTCAATCACAAATTTTTATATTATCATCTGTAAATGCGCCGTCGATATATTTCAAGGTCATGGCCCACGTTCATGGTCATGGAAATGACCAACTGCATCTACTAGCACTGACTTTGAAGTAAATAGAATGCTTAGTAACAATTTAATAGAGAAATCATTTGCGCATGCGCTCGAGCGTATCGGGAATCATGGACGAAAAACGGGATTTTTTGTTTTCAGAATTTACCTTTTTTCTTTACAAGAATTCTTCTCATAAAAGAAACAATTAACACATATTTTAAGATCAAAAGACCCTATAAGATCTTAATTAAGATTCCATATGATCGTACAAGATCTTGTAGGATCTTATGGTAAACTCTTAGGTAAGATCCTAATAAGATCCAGTGTAAGATTAAGAGTAATATAGTAGCTAAAATCTTTACAAGATGTTGAGACCGTGATCTGTGCCTCAAAAATTTACTTTAAAAATGAGTTTCGTTAGACACCTCAAGAAAGGACCCAAAATTTTCAAAATAGATAGAAAGTCACTTTTTATTGTTAATTTTCAGAAATAACAATAAAAAAGAAGTTTAATATACTTTTTTATTGTTACTTCTGAAAAGATGCATATTTTTAGTATTTTGCAGTTTAATTTCAAAATTCCCCGCTCCTTTAATTTTGATAACGCCATTTTTTAGCGCGAAACTTCATGTAGAATACACAAGATATCTTTCATTTAAAATTCTTGCATGAAAATGGCGCAATTGATTTGTTGATAAGAATGGAGGAAAGACATTCGTGTTTCATTCATTGCGAAGATGACAACGTAATTCTGACGAATTTTACACCAATATCTTTGAAACGGTTCCTGGAATGCAGAAAGCAATGGCTACAACATGATGGGTAACAACAAGATGTAGCCTTGAAAACCACGAATGTAGTTCCTATTGAGGAGATAGAGGATAACTTGGGAATCTATAAGCGTTTTTTTCCATTCACGTTTTTATTCAGCATTTACGAATAAAACCTTGATACATTGAGCACAAAGACACACTGAAAAAAGTGCAAATACGTTAACTGAGCCTTGTATGTCTGTAACGCAGGAAGGACCACCTCTAGTAAAGATAATGCTGCGATCAAAATCATTCCTGTTACGTGTTACCTCCAGTCAGTGTCATTTCAACGTACAGTAGTTGCACCTCTAGTCACTATTGCACCTTATGGTATTGGTGCAAAGACAACTCCTAAATTTCATGGATCTAACCTAGATGAGTCAGTTATGCAGCCTCTGGAGAGCAATGACTTCATTGTCAAGTCTCAGAAAGTGGATCTTGCGTACTGCATGATAAAATATTTTACTACTGATGAAGGCAACGTCTGGCCTGGATGGTCTGGATTCAACTCTGTTTTGCAAAAATACAACATATTTAGTGTGTCAAGAGTTAGTTATCTTCCAATAGTGGACGCCTCCCAAACGGAGTACTCAACCCTAAATGAAATGCTGAAATCTGCCATTAGCATAGGTGGAAAAAAGAGCTTTTTTATGACCGATTTGCTGTTAGACTAAGAGAGTTTCATGCCAGCATGAGCTACCTTTCTGCTATTTCAAAACTCTTCGAAAATGGTGGTTTGAAGGCAAATACTAAGATTTTCTGAGAAACTCGATATTTTAAACGCACGAGAATTTCTTAACAATAAAATTTTACAATTTAGAATGCCATTTTGTTTAACAGCATTAGGCCATGTATGTTCTATTTAAACCATCCATTTACGTGGTGTGCAAAGGCAAGATATTTTCCTCTAAAATAATTTAAAATTTGCAATTGTTTTGATGTTTGGAGAGCAAACGTTTTACTACACCAAAATTGTTGTCTTCTTTAATAACAAGCCTTTTGCAGTTTGCTACTCTTACAACATTATTTATTTAGTAGTACTGTATGTATACAAAATGACCTGTCATGCAGCATGAGACCCTCACATTTTTTTGATATTTTGCTGGCCTCACTTTAATGTTTTTTTAAACATTTATAGAAATCCTGCTGCAATTCATTCGGGCAACTCGAGAAGTCGATTGGAACCTTCATTTAGCGTCGTTCAGATGTATGTTGCAATGGTTTTTTATTTTAGATCATATAAACTATGCCAGATACGAGACTGCTTATTGGCTGGAAATGACAGCATTGGAAAGTACACACCCTGGTTGGTATAATTTCATTAAACTATGCATTTTAACTAGCAGTGATGAATAAAAGAATTTACAATTTGATTCTAAGATTTTTATTTCGCTTGTTTTTTACATTCCAAAGAGATTGTTCCCGATTTATTGACAACTTTCGCAGTCTAACAGCAAGATTGTCACGAATTCTCCGCAGTTTCTTGTGACCAGATGATTGTACAAACCATAAATCGTGACTCCAAATCCAAGGGAGACATTGCTTTTTCATTAAATCGGTCGGCGATCCACAGATGGTTGTTAGCCAAATCAGAAAGAGCTGCAATTACTAACAAATGCTAAAGTATTGGTGAGTCTAACATTACGCCAAGGTAGAACAGCAGTCTCTAACTCTCCATGAATTGTCATGATTTTTATCACACGGTATTTTTACAGGAGCCGCTTACATCTTGACAAAGCTAAATGGGCACGTAATGAAAAATATGTTAAAAATGTAATGTCTGCAGTGTTGAGCATGAACAATCAGTTTGATGCTGAGGAAGAAAATTTAGTATGTTTCGACTTTGACTTGGTGGTGGACAACGAGATTTCAGATAAACACCTGGGGGCAGAAAAATAAGGGAAGGAGTAGTTTATTAAATTTGCACGAGATAATCTTTTGAGTATACAAATCCGGAAATTTTGCAAAGTTTACTCGTAGCAAGAGTTCAGAACTTTTTTGCCAGAAATAGTCAATTTTTTGTGCCAGAAATAGTCAAAGCGACAACAAGATGTAGCTTTGAAAACCACGGATGTAGTTCCTATTGAGGAGTTTGAGGATAACTTGGGAAGCTATAAGCGTTTTTTTTCCATTCACGTTATTATTCAGCATTTACGAATAAAACTTTGATACATTGAGCACAAAGACGCTCTGAAAAAAAGTGCAAATACGTTAACCGAGCCTTGTATGTCTGTAAGGCAGGAAGGACCACCTCTAGTAAAGATAATGCTGCGATCAAAATCATTCACTGATGAAAGAATAAAGGCAAAGGGAAACAAATTAATTTAAAAATAAACAGAGACCCATTTTCTCGGCTATTCCTGATAGTTAAAATAACCAAATCCAAGCTATTTGAAATTTTTGAAGCTAGACATAACGATTCTTTTTGTTAGCTTTATTAGCTTTATTTAGTAGGTTTTGTTATTGTCTTTACAGTTAGTATTTACAAAGAATCCCCAGTATCAAATATACCTCAATTTTGGTTTCATGATTCAAATGGGTTAATTTCATGTGCTAAAAACGTTGTTAGCAGTTGTCAGGCCATGAGCATTTCATTCTTCTTTAAAGACCATCTTAAAAAAGGAATGGACAATACGCATATTGAATGCATGTTGACGCTTAAGAGGCACGAAAGCAAACACGACAGTTTAAACACGTATCGAGTAATCATTCAGTATCTTCATCTTGAGGATCTTTACTATGCTTAAAACATACTGACCATGTCGAAATTCAAAGTCTCATACAGCGCGTAACTTGACATTATAAACATCATAAATTATAAAACATGTTTTCTAATATAAATAGAACTTATTTTTATACTTGTTACACGAATGACGAAAAGTATACTACCCCGAAATGAATAACCTACTCGTGCATTTTACAAGCATTTAATCAAAGCCTTTCACTACACGTTATTAAAAAGATGATAAATCCACACAACACGACGTTTGAAAACGACGTTTGAAACGGGCAATCCGAATTTTATTCTTTTTGTGGGAAATCCATATTTTATTCTTTTTTTCCGTCCGTTCGCCTATTAGTCCGCCGGTGCGCATCCCCATTTTATCCCAATCCGTCAAAAATTGATGAGTTTGTAATGAGGTATGGCACGTTTCCTTTTTTTCAAGGGCTTTTGACGAGCATTTAATATTGAGTGTTTGATTCAAGGGCTTTTCAAGAAGTTCAAGGAGTTGTAAATTATACAAATATAATGGCTCCTCTATAGATTATTAAATAATTACTACTTTCTTGTTTTACATCTTGCAAATTGTGATGGTATTTGGTTGGTTCTTGATTTTGTGTCCTTCTTGTCCTAACCTGCCAAAAGTGGTGTAGTTGGTAAAAAAATACTCGGTGTTATTTTTAAAACAGATTACTTGTTTGCTGAAGCAGGAGGTATTATGATGATGATTATTTCCATTCTACGCTTTCGTGCCACTGTATATCCTTTAAAGCCCCCAATCAGTAAGCAAAGACTAAAAGTTGTTTGCGCTATGGTTTACTTTGTATCGTTTATACTGGGCTTTGTATTGCTTGTTCCATCATGTGTGGACGACGGTGAGCATACTAAGATCATGAAAATAAATCAAATTGTAGTCTTCTTTGGTTTCTTTTATGGCAGTGGAGCAATGACCGTAATTTATTGCAAAATCGCACAAGTACTTCATAACCAAAAAAATAACTTTGCAATTTCTCAAGATCAAATGCAGTCACTTCTTTGTTCAGCTAACAAAGATATCATTGAAATCAAAAAATATTCTGTGTTTGTTTCTTGACGGTCATCTTTTACGGAATTGGAAATATCGTAATTGCCATTGCATACTTTGTTCAAATGAACAGATATCATTTATCCTCAGTATTTTTCAACATTGCTAAATTTCTTAGGATATAAGAAATTATTATTAATATTCTCACAATACACAACTATTAATCCTCTTATCTATAGACTATGGGACTAAAAACTATTTATCTTTTGGATTTATTGTCAAAGAAAAAGAAAGCAAATGCTGTTCTGGGGGCTTCCATTGAAATGAACTGTTGATTTTAGGGTTACCACACTTACGTGCTGTGCATTTCTTTAAACTGAGTATTTTTTTGTAGATGTACGACTGCAGCAAACTAAAAAACATCCTCATGAACTAACTGAAGTTAAGACAAAACTTTTTTACCTAAGCTTTCATTTTCATATTCTGTGGATCTACCTTTGCCATTAAACCTGCAGGTCCTTAGAAGTCTTGTCGTCGCTTGACATCGTTGATGATTGGCAATACTATAATAACAATGTGTATTATGTCAAAAGAGATGCAAAAAAGAATGTATACGTGAACTAAAAACATTGTTATCACAAAACAGTAAGTGAACACATAGAAATTTACAATGCATTAACAAACTTGCAACATGGCATCGCTGCTACATCCACATGTACAAATAATTAAAAAATAGAAACATGACGCCACGTGATATGTCTCTATTTTTGATTATTTCAACATCAACCAGCATTCCCATTCATTCTATTTTTATTTTGATCTTTTTTTTGGTAATAATTTTCATTTAAACTACCAAACTTGATAGCTATTTGTACAATTCTGCAAGGACATACAATTAAAAGTCATTCTCTTCGCAGTATCCGTGAGTGAAAATGTAAACATGTAAAGGCGCAATGCATGACGGTAACTTAAGACTAATTAGTCATATAGCCATTCAGGTTCATCCATTATTCATCTATAGTATTGGCCAATACCAGATGCACCTACATGCAGCTAAACATCTGGTTTTAGAACATTGTTAAGTTCACAGTTAACAGTAAATATACGTAAAAAAAATCATGTAGCTACGGATGTTATACGACATTAATTTTTCATTCGGATGCTTCTAACATGGGACACACAACTAAACGTCGTTTTCTTTGCAGCCTTCGTGTGTCAAAATGTAAACATACATAAAAAGTGTGACAATTAAAACCAATTAGACAAATAGTAATTTAAGTTCATCCATTATAAGGAACAGGCATTAAAACGTGAAACATGGCGTATGAAGTGAATCGAATTTACTAGTGAATATTTGAATAATGAATGCACTCCTTCTCCGAGTAAAATTCATAGCTGCGATAAACAAGGACAAGACAAGATAAAACAGCCTGTCGTCAGGGGCCGCGGAAGTATCTCAAAAGTGGGGGGGCACTGACCGAAAAGGGCATGTGAGTTTGCAGCTTACTGTTTTAGTATATTACAGATGCGCATTGTTTCATGAATCATGATTAAGTTTCAAAGTTTGCAAAATATTGGTAGACATTCTTGGAATGCTATGCGTATTCTCTACTGCTCGGCGTGCGTGCTAACAAATTGAACTAAGATGACTACATGAACAATTTTATTAAGTAATGCGATCTCATTAAAATTTCCCAAAAAATCTAACCCTACGTTCGTTTTTCAGAACAGAGTCCTTAGCTATTAAACGTAAGTCCAGTTCGTCAGTTCTGGCCTTATTTACATGATTATTGTAGCGTGCTGCTGTCATTGTGCTCCTGAGATGTGTCTTGACAAGCCGCTGGCATGAAAAAGATCGTTCTCCTGGGGCTGCGCTTATTGGAGCAAGAAGGTAAATCTGCAAGAGTCGGACAACATTAGACATTGCCATGACAATCTGCGATGAGTTATTTTCTTCGGTTAATAATATTGATGTTATGGTGTCAATTGATGTCACCTTCTTTACTTCTGGAAGTCGCTGCGAGATAATTCCTTCAAGAAGCTTTAACTCCGCCTTCAGCTGGTCAAAGTCGAAGTCATTTTCGTAAAGGTGTTCAACTTCATCACTCAACTCAAACTTACACCCGTTTGCTGCATTAATGAGCACGGTTTCGATGTTCATCAATACAGAATATGTTTTTTGATCGAATCGCTCCTGTAGTGAAGCCAAGCACGCATCAATTGCCTCAACATACTGGGCACGGTGGGCGTCTTTCGCAGTTTGGAAATGATGTTGCTCATCATCTCCGTGTTGAAGTCGCCACGAAGCTTTCTTCGGTCTTGGTTCTGTTGCATCGCCTGCAAAGTTGATAGCCTTGCTTGAAGCAACTACTTGGTCGTAAAACAAAGAGAAGTTGTCTCGTTGACGCTGCAAGTTTGTCTTCAAGGCATTTATGCAAGTAACAGTTGACAAACGAAGACAACCCCAATCGACAAACGCGATTTTTGATCCATCTGGGTAATCAAAATCAAAAACTAAGCTATAGCTGATTTCGCATGATGCCGACAGACTTTGTTCTACTCTCGGGGCTACTTGTATCTAAGAAAAACTTCTTCAGTCTAATTTTACCTAAAACAATGGGCATTTTTATGCCATGAAAAAGGGCACATTTTTCGTTGTTGCAAAAAGTGGGGGTGCACTTGCCCCCAATGCCCCCCGGTTCCGCAGCCTTTGCCTGTCGTAATTGGTGCCGTATGTAGGCGATTTAAATGACTTTTTAGTTCATTCGACGCAGTCATGAACTTTTCATACAAGATCATTATCGACCAAGTTTTTCAAGTACACAGAAATGCTACCTAGTGAATCATTTTACCGTCAAGTCGTCAACATTAAAAATTTGGTGGCAACAGCTTTGTTTACGACAAAGCTCCACAAATTACTGTTTACCACTTGTAGTTTGTCACATTGTGTGAATATTTTACAAGTTTATTGACGGGGGTCATTGTCTCATTTTGTCTGTGCACCGTATTGCTATCCGAGCGGGTGGCATTTTCAGTTTTTTCTGTAAAGATTGCCAATGACATAATGACAGTAGGACTTAAAATTATTCAAACAAAATCAAAGGATGCATGAAAAGGTTTAACAAACGATCGTGAATTCGAAGTTGAAATGTTTAATTGTTCAACCCATAATTTGTCGGTAATTGATGTAAGCGTAGTCATGTGGCTTTTTGACACGCGTATTGTGTGCCAATATTGACGTGAACGCGCTATGGCTGTTTTCAATTGGAAATAAAAACTAATAAATTCACAGCAATATGTAGATCTTACGCTTGAATTAATCAAACCCAGCTGCTTGCGAATATGACAAAATCATCTAATTGATTTTTTTCAGACTTCAAAAACGAAACAATTATTTTAAACTTCACAATATTTAGTCGGACTATGCCATGTGCAATCAGCAACCGCATAACGTTTAAACTCGTGAAATTTTGACCAGAGTTTGTTAATTGCTACATGGTAAAACTAACTTCTGTTTTAAAATTATTTGAAAAATTTTTTATTGCGTGGGGGTTAATTCAGGTTCATCCATTATTCATCTAATAGTATTTGCCAATACCAGATGCAACTACATGCAGCTAAACATCTGCTTTTAGAACATTGTTAAGTTTACAGTTACATTAAGTATACGTAAAAAAAATCATGTAGCTACGGATGTTATACAACAATAGTTTTTCATTCGGATGCTTCTGACATGGGACACCCAACTAAATTCCTTTTCTTTGCAGCCTTTGTGCGTCAAAATGTAAACATACATAAAAAGTGTGACAATTAAAACCGATTAGACAAATGGTAATTTAAGTTCATCCATTATTTATCCACGAATATTGGCTATTTATCCACGAATGCAGTATGCAGTCTATCGTTGGTTTTGGCTTTAACTTGATCTCTATTTGCCTTGTCAGTATATAAAACCCAAAAAAACTATTTCTATAGCTTATAATCGTTATAATGAACAGGCATTAAAACTTGAAACATGGCGTATGAAGTGAATCGAATTCTTACTAAAATTACCGTTCCTATTGCACTATTTGGTATCATTGGCAACTCTCTCGTGATCATCACAATATTACGACGACGAAGTTTGTTGACGAGCAACTATTACTTTCTTGTTTTAAATCTTGCCATTTGTGATGGCACTCTGTTGGTTCTAGATTTTATGGCCTTGATAACCCAACTTCATATTAAAAGCTTCACAGCTACCAAAACATATTGTCATGTTATTGCAACAAGATACATTCTTTCAGAAGCAGGAGCTCTTATGATGTTGATTATATCCATTCTACGTTATCGTGCCTCTGCATATCCTTTAAAGACTCCTATCAGCAAACGAAGATTAAAAATGATTTGTGTTATAGTTTACATTGCATCGTTCATACTGGGCTATGTATTGCATGTTCCGTACTGCACGAACAATAATGAGCGTAATGTGATTTTGAAAATACATCGTTATGTACTCATCTTCGGTTTCTTCCTTTGCAATATGGCAATTGCCGTAATCTATTATAGAATTGCACGAGTACTTCATAACCAAAGAAATAAATTTAATATTTCACAAGATCAGAATGCAGTCACCTCTTCCTTTATCAAACAAAGATATCGTCGAAATCGTAAGATATTCTGTGTTTGTTGCATGACATTTATCTTCTACACGATTGGGCATACCCCAACGGCCATCGCATTCCTTCTTCACATAATCAGATATCTTACATATTCGTCACCATTTCTCTACATCGCCCGACTGCTAAGGATTTTCGCATTACATGCGATTAATCCTCTTATCTATGGACTGGGGGACAGGAAACTACTAATCTTTTGGAGAAATTACCGAAGAAAGAAAGCAAATGTTTGTCAGGATACCACCATTGAAACAAGCGTTTGAAATTTTTATGGTGACCTTACGTGCTGTGTATTTCCTTAAAGTGAAACTGAATTTTGTTTTTAGTAGATGTACGACTGTAGTAAATAAGTAAGCATTTTTATGAACCAACTGAAGACAAGATATCAAACATTTTTACCTCTCTCTGTTTTCATTTACGTATTGACTCGTGCCTTTAACATTAGCCTGTAGCTCATTTAATAGAAGTTTAGTATAATCACTTGACGTTGTTGATGAACGTTTATATATACTATGACTTTAATGCTTCATTTGTAATAAACACTTGCTATAAAGAATTTACGAGCTTTTACTTCTCTTAAGGGTCTATGCAATATTATAACAAACGTTGAAGAAACGCTTGTCCTCGAATACGTCACATTTGTTTAAATTGTGCCATAAATTCATACTACATTATTCATAAGTAATTCATATTTTATAATTTCTGAGTAGCAGTAACAAAGTCGAAACATGTTTGCTTTTAAAAAATCGTCGTTTTTATTTAAGGATTTTCAACTCATATTAATCCAATTTAAAAAACTAATGCGAAATGAGTTATTATTAGCTTAATTTTGTGTCGTTCAGTTCTTTCAACCAAAATGATAAAAACTTAAAGTGTTTATACAATGAAATTTTCATATACATTTTCATAGCCTTAATTAAATATTCAGATGTTTGCAAATGATTTAATATTTTTATGTCCATTTTACGTTAAGTGGAAGTAGACTAATCTCAACTCCAAAAGTTGTCTTCTTGTGTGAATTTTGTTGACGGCCATGTTTGCTCATTTGACGTTATAAGTAGTACGGAAGTGGCCAAATTAATAGTAATTTCTATTGCCATGTTGAAAATGTGTATTACTTATGACGTCAATTAGCAAACATGGCAGCCAAAAAAGTTCGCACAAAATAAACTAAAAACTGCCTTTTTGGGCGTCTATATAATCAATCTGAAAAGAGAAAATTTAACTCTGTTTCAACAAAAATGATGTTGAGAGCAAGTACTTTTGAATAACCAAATAAAACAATGTATGAAAATTTCATTGCATAAGCAATTTAATGAAAGAAGATATCAGAACGGAGTTGGGTGTTGTTCTGTGAGCATAAATAAAGCAGTATAATTTATGCGACAAATAGCTTTTTTAAAAGATGTGACACACGCAGGAGGAAGCTTTTCTTCAATATTGTATAGGCCCACATACGGCAAGTATGGGTCTTTAACATAGGTTATCGAAAATAACGTTCTGTTAAGGCCCTGTTCACACGATACCTGATTTATTTGATCTCGGATTACTTTTCGTACCGGATAGGCCTTGCGTTCATACCAGAGCCCTCTATTAGTAAGAGTTGGGACAAACGATCTGGGGCAAGCGCGGAGCCGCCATTTTGGTTCCTACTTGCAAAGTGAAACTATATAATACTATTGGAAATTGGGTTTATATGCAAAAGAAGAAGGCAATTTAAGCTTATTCCATGGTAGTATCAAATATATTAGGAATAAT